TTTTCACAAAAGGGTAAAAGTTTCAGCCTTTCTGTAATTTGTATTTTAAATTGTAATACCATATTGTGTTAACTATTATTCATGTGACCTCAAGCAACAATATAGGTAAACTTTATATAATGGTATTTAAAAAAACAAAAATCAGCTTCAAAACTAGAACAATTTACTTAAGATTTATAAAGAGCCCCACCTTAGCTGAGATAAGGCTCTGCCTCCCATCTTAATGCATGTCAGAATAACCTCACAACAGGCCAGACTTCACTTCATTTAAAGTTGTATTGAAAATATTGAGTTTTGTTGTTAAGATTACTAGGATCTCAAATAGGGGTTATAATATAACACAGTCAAAGTTCAAGGTAGCTATTACACATACTAAACTTGTTTTTACTCTCATTAATTTTATTTTGTATTTTCCTTATAAACTGTATACATGTTGCATGCTAATGTTTTACAAAGGTATTGCTTCAAGAACACACAACGTGGGTTAATTTAAGATAAGCAATCACTTAAATGACAGGTAAGATAGCAGAGACCTCAATTAATGTGAGGTTACATACATTAAAGTTAAACCCCAGTACTCTTAATTGGTGAGACTGAATTGCTAGATGTATAACATCAAGTCTTAAAAATTAAAGTTAATTCATCTATAGGGAGGAGGAGAGGGAAGGAAGGGGAGGAGGCAGGGGATTAACAAGGATGGTGGAATGTGATGGACATCATTATCCAAAGTCATGTATGAAGACATGAATTGGGTATCAACCTACTTTATATACAAACAGAGATATGAAAAATTGTGATAGATATGTGTGATAAGAATTGTAATGCACAAAAAGTACATGTATAAAGACATGAATTGGAGTGAACATACTTTGTATACAAAGATATGAAAAATTGTGCTCTATATGTGTAATAAGAATTGTAATGCATTCTGCTGTTATGTATTTAAAAAATAAAATCAATAATAAAAATTAAAGTTAAATTAAAAGGGACAAAAAAACTCTATATTTGGCTCTTGCCCTCTGAGTCAATGTAAACCCAAGGATCAGGGAACTTCTCTAGAGAGCTTTGCAACTCTGGGCCACATAACCTCTCAAACAGGGAGTTTATTGAGACCCCTGGAAAACAGAAAGCCAATCAATGCTCTTGCCAGGAAATGGAGAGTTATTGGAGAATGGATATATTTCTGGTGTTTTCAAGGGAAGCCACATGGTAAACAAGACCTGGATCCCTCCTAGTGCAAACAGCAGTAGCAGAACTAAAAAATTGCTTCCAAGTTCCCCCAAGAGTGACTCCCATGGAAACTCAGCTGACTCTTAATAATAGACAGAAACAAAAGTCAGTTTGACTTGCTTCATCTTAAACACCTAGCAAAAACAGTTAAAACCAGAACATAGCCACGCCTGAGTATTTAAAGATAAATAATAATAATTAAATATAACTTAAGATTTACACTTATGTTAGCCCCACAAATAAGTAAGACTGGAGGCTACAAAGAAGGATTCTCAGGCAGGAATGCCTGATTTAAAAAAAAATCTATCAAGAGAAACTGCCAGAGTCAGAAGTTTTTATTCCTAACCTACACAGGTAGGCTTGATATTTGCTAGTGTGATATTTCCATTCCTAAGAACCAGAAATAAAGGGTTCTCTACTAGGCATGGAAGTCACACAAGCAAAAATTTTACAAGATCAGATGACATTGAGTAGTTTAACTACATCTCATGGGGGTGGACATCTATAACACTAAAAGTTGAATGTTGTGTTTACATTCCTGATAACTCTAAAGATGTTAAAGATTTACATTTCTATATAAAGGCCTTGTCCACTCTGCCCTTATTATGGGGACAGCTTCTCAATCTCCACACTTCCTGGTGAAAAAATAGTACCTTCTGTCACCTTCATGATATTCTTTGGCAATATTTGTTCAGTACTCATGTGTTTTTTTCCTCTCTTACATAGAAGCACCCATTCACATAGGAATTTACATCCTGTTCTTCTCCAGCCAGACTGAAGTCCTAAGCTGCCTCACTCCACGTAGACCCCTCTAAGCTCCAAAGTAGCCAGAACAATCACCTCCCCCTTTCTTACAACAATGGAGACAGAAATAGATACACAATATAAACAGGTAAATCCAGTCAGGTTGCATCAGGGAAGCCAGTTTTGGGTGAGTCTGAGAAGTTGGGAACTGTTACCTGAGGGATTAAAATTTCTTCAGAGTTCTTTCTTTGCACTAGCAAAGTTTTGGAAGGGAAACATAAGACACATAAGACAAGAAGCCTAATTCTTCCTTAATATTGAGAGCAATCTCATCAAAAAGCCATGTAAGTTCTCAAGACATCCCCCTTTTGAAACTTTTTGTTGTATAAAACTGTGCTACTACAGAGTCATAGCACTGTCTTCTATTACCACAGGTTTCTGGAGAGAAACAGTCCTAGAGGGTAGAAATAACAAGCTTGCTTTAATTTGATTTAAATTGGACTCAGTGGTCTTTTTTTTTTCTTGTAGTTTAACAAGATTGGCTCTGCTATGTGCTTTTGAAATGTAGTAGAAAATTAGTAAGTCTAGGAGGGCTGGCCTGTATCTGGCTCAGGATCATTGCAGTTTTTCTCTGCATCCATCTGCACTGGCTGACTTATCATCTCCTAGGGCTCAGGTCCCATGTCCACACCTCAACTGAGCCCTCCTGGATGAAGTCTAACATTCTTTATACACCAAAATTGTCTCTTTTATTTTACCTGCTTCAATCCCTTCATGGCAATTTCACACTTTGAATTGCCTATATCTTTCTTTTCTTTAATTTAACAGGTTTCCATACCAACCAATGGATACAGATA